CAGAGACAGGGCCACGGTGATGGCCCGCGGCAGGTGGCAGACGGAGAGCTCCGTTCGTCGGTATACCAAGATCGGAAAGGTTCAGAATATGCTCGCGATGCTCGTGCCTCATGTCCTTGACCATGTGAAAAATGCGCGGCCGTTCTCGACGACGTGCTGTTGGGGCGGAAGGCCGCCCTCCAGCCGCCCCGGGCCGTGAGGAGGTGAAGCGCTCGCGGCGCAGGTCTCCAGCTCCGCGGTCGCGTGGAGCTCGATGGGGGCTCGTTGGGCGCCGTGGGTGTCTTGAGGTTTTCTCGGGATCTGGCCGCTTGACTGCGTCGTTGAGAGGCCGCGGCATCCGTGCGGAGGGCTTGGACGTTCTTAACAATGTCGACCTGTTGGTCAAGAAGAACCAGCAGAGAGTCCTTGCCCTTATTAGAAGCAGGAGGGTTGGTTGTCTCTGGTTCGGGCTGCCCTGTAATACTTGGAGCAGAGCTAGAAGATGGGGATGAACTGGCCCAGGGCCTCTTCGGGACGAACAAAAGTATATCATGGGACTCCCTGGGCTGGGTGAAAAAGACGCCAGGAAGGTCAAGGAGGGGAACCAGTTGATGTGGTTTGTCGTTCGTTGTTGCCGGGCCGCGTCAAAAGCTGGGGCCCCCTGGACTATCGAGAACCCTCGCACGAGTCGTGTCTGGAAAGCCCCGGCTGTGAAGAAGCTCGCCAAGATGAAATCTTTCGGGGCCGAGGTTTTATCTCCCGCGTTTGTGCACCTTGATTTCTGCCAGTACGGTGAAACTTGGAAAAAGAGTACGACGTTGTTGTCCCACGGTCTTGATATGTCTTTTGCCGGCCGCAGGTGTACTATGTCAAATGGGCTGTGTTCTCGGACAGGCTGCCGCCACGCCGTCTTGGAGGGTAAAGATAGCTGTGGAACTTGGAATACGTTACGTGCTCAAGCTTATCCTAAAGAGCTGACTAAAGTGCTAGCAGGATTAATTTATAAACGCCTTTTAAGCAGTCCACTTCGTGGATAAGGGAGATCTCCGGGCCTCGCCAGACCAAACTGCAAGCGTTTGCAGCCGCCCAGGGCGGCTGTCCGTCAGCTCGTGCCATCAACCTTGCAACCTGCCGCGTAGCCCCGCTATGCGTCTGAAAATGTTGTCTGGCCAAGGGGGAGGGGGAGATCATGAGAGTGCGGTGAACAGCATTGATCGTGCCTCCCCGCGGCCGTTTTCAACCCTCAAGGTTTTTTGCTGCGCCATCCCGAACCCCGTCCTGCCTCCCCTCTCTCTCTCTCTCTCTCTCTCTCTCTCTCTCTCTCTCTCTCTTTTTAGTTGGGGGAGATCTCCAGGCCTCACCAGACCAAACTGTAAGCGTTTGCAGCCGCCCAGAGCGGCTGTCCGTCAGCTCGCGCCATCAACCTTGTAACCTGCCGCGTAGCCCCGCTATGCGTCTGAAAATGTTGTCTGGCCAAGGGGGAGGGGAAGATCATGATGGTGATGATCATGGCGATGGTGATGGTGATGGTGATGATGGTGGAGATGATGTTGAGGAGGAGGATTGTCAGGATGAGGAGGATGATGAGGACGAAGAGGAGGATGATGCTGAGGTAACTGAGACGGTGATAATGATAGGGATAGTGATGACGGTGATGATGATGTTGAGGAGGAGGAGGCGGAAGATGAGGAGGAGGGGGAGGAGGGGGATGAGGCTGAGGTTTGGGATGAGGATGAGGATGATGATGCTGATGATGATGACGATGCTGATGATGCTGATCATGATGATGGTTAGGGTGAAGCTGATACTGATGATGGCCGTGGTGATGATGATGACGATGACGACGACGTCGACCATGATGATGGTTGTGGTGGTGGTGGGATGGATGATGATGGTGGTGATGATGATGTTGGTGGCGGTGGTGATGATGATGGTGGTGGTGGTGATGATGATGATGCTGGTGGTGATGATGATGATGATGGTGACGGCGATGAAGATGATGATGATGATGGTGTTGACGATGATGATGATGATGATGGCGATTATGATGGTGATGGCGATGGTGACGATGATGCTGATGGTGACGATGATGATGATACTGATGATGCTGACTATGATGATGATGATGTTGATGATGCTGATGCTGATGTTGATGTTGATGCTGATGTTGATGGAGGTGGTGGTCGTGGTGATGATGATGATGATCATCATGGTGGTGGTGGTGATGCTGATGATGCTGGTGGTGATGCTGCTACTGATGATGACATTTGATGATGACGATCACTACAATTAAGCAATTACTTATGATGATGGTGTTTGTGGTGATGGTGATCATGATTGTGACGCCCCATCACTTAGTGAAGGTTTCATTTCATGTCCCGCCTGTCCGGCCGACTGAACGCTCCATCACTGAGTGAAGGTTGCATTTAATGTCGCGCCCGCTCGAACGACGTCCCTGGTGCTGGGGGTATATTTCCCCGAGCGCTGTCTCATCACAGAGTGAAGGTTGCATTTCATGTCCCGCCCGAGTGAAAAGTCCATTTAATGTGCCGCCCGCCCGGACGGCGTCCCCGGTGCTTATGACATAGGTCCCCCAATATTGTCCCATCGCCAAGTGAATGTTGCATTTAATTCTCTTGCACAGCTGTGCTCTAGAGCTCGGACATCTTTATTTTCGTCGTCGTTCGTTCGTTCGTCCCCCTGGGCCCTCCCCTTGGGATCCCTTGGGATCCCCTGGGCCTCCCCCCGCTTCTCTGGGCCACCTCCCCGTGCAGGCTCTTGGGACCCCTTGGGACCCCCTGGGCCTCCCCCCGCTTCTCTGGGCCACCTCCACGTGGAGGCTCTTGGGATTTCTTGGGACCCCTCCGTCCAGGCTTCCCAGGGCCCCTTCGCCCAGGCTTCCCAGGGCAGCCCCCCTGGGCCACGGAACCCTTTATTTTCGTCGCCGTTCGTTCGTTCGTTCGTCCCCCTGGGCCCTCCCCTTGGGACCCCTTGGGACCCCCTGGGCCTCCCCCCTCTTCTCTGGGCCACCTCCCCGTGGAGGCTCTTGGGATCCCTTGGGACCCCCTGGGCCTCCCCCCGCTTCTTTGGGCCACCTCCCCGTGGAGGCTCTCGGGACTTCTTGGGGCCCCTCCGTCCAGGTTTCCCAGGGCCCCTCCGTCCAGGCTTCCCAGGGCAGCCCCCCTGGGCCACGGAACCCTTTATTTTCGTCGTCGTTCGTTCGTTCGTTCGCCCCCCTGGGCCCTCCCCTTGGGATCCCTTGGGATCCCCTGGGCCTCCCCCCGCTTCTCTGGGCCACCTCCCCGTGCAGGCTCTTGGGACCCCTTGGGACCCCCTGGGCCTCCCCCCGCTTCTCTGGGCCACCTCCCCGTGGAGGCTCTTGGGATTTCTTGGGGCCCCTCCGTACAGGCTTCCCAGGGCCCCTCCGTCCAGGCTTCCCAGGGCAGCCCCCCTGGGCCACGGAACCCTTTATTTTCGTCGTCGTTCGTTCGCTCGTTCGTCCCCCTGAGCCCTCCCCTTGGGACCCCTTGGCCCCCCTCGCCCCGCTGGCCTTGGCCCTGGACCCAGCCTCCCTCCCCTGGCCCTGGCCCCAGTCCTCCTCGCCCTGGACCCTTTATTTTCGCTCGTCGTCGTCCCTCTGGTCCTGTCCCTGGACCCTGCCTCCTCCCCTGGCCCTGGCCCCGGCCCCCTTGGACCCGGACCCGGCCTCTCCCCTTCCGGCCCTGGCCCAAGTGCCCCTCGCCCTGGACCTGTTATTTTCGTTCGTCGTCGTGCCTGGTCCGGTCCTGGCCCTGGACCCAACCTCCCCACCTGGTCCTGGCCCCAGCCCCCCTCGCCCCGCTGGCCCTGGCCCTGGACCCAGCCTCCCCAGCCCCGGCCCTGGCCCCAGTCCCCCTCGCCCTGGACCCTTTTTGTTCGCTCGTCGTGGTCCCTGGTCCGGTTGACCCTGGACCCAACCTCCCCACCTCGTCCTGGCCTCAGCCCCCCTCGCCCCGCTGGCCCTGGGCCTGGAACCAGCCTCCCCCCCCCCGGCCCTGGCCCCAGTCCCCCTTGCCCTGGACCCTTTATGTTCGTTTGTCGTCTTCCCTCTGGCCCTGGACCCTGCTTCCTCCCCTGGCCCTGGCCCCAGCCCCCCTTGCCCCGCTGGCCCTGGCCCTGGACCCAGCCTCCCCCCCCACGGCCCTGGCCCCAGTCCCCCTCGCCCTGGACCCTTTGTTATCTTGCGCAGCTGTGTTCTAGAGCTCGGACCTCTTTGTTTTCGTTCGTCGTCGTCGTTCGTTCGTCGTTCGTCCTCCCCCCGGCGGCCACAAAAGTAAACTCCTGGAGGAAGGAGGCGAAAGCCTCCTGTCTCTCGCGGCTCCTTAGTGCAAGAGCCAGGGCACGCGTACCACTTGTTCCCCGCCGTCGCCGTCGCCGTCGCCATTTCCGTCGTCGTCGTCGTCGTCACAAGCTCAGACAAAGCTAAAAAAGGCGCAGACAAAGTTGACACAAAGCTCAAATTAAGCTCCAACAGAGCTTCAACAAGGCTCAAACATAATTAGCTCAATCACAGCCCAAACAAAGCTCAAACAAAGCTGAAACAAAGCTCAAGCAAAGCTCAAAGCTCAATCAAAGCTCCCACAGAGCCACAACAATGCTCAAACAAAGCTCACACAACAAACAAAGCTCAAACAAAGATCAATCACAGCTCAAACACAGCTCAAATAACGCTCAACGAACGCTGAATCAGAGAGCCAACAAAGCTCCAACGAAGCTCACACAAAGTTCAGGCAAAGCCCCAACTAAGCTCCAACAAAGCCCAAGCAAAGCATAGACAAAGCGCACACAAGGCTCACACAAAGCCCAAACTCAGCTCGATCACAGCTGAAAAAAAAGGATCCAACAAAGCTCAAACAAAGCTCAGACACAGCTCAAACCGTAGCCATTTTGGCTCAAGCCGTTTCGGCTCAGGCTGTCTTGTCTCAAGAGCACCACTTCCAGAGGCCGATGCGCTGCCAGCGGATGCCCCGGGCCACGCCGAGGCCCTCTGAGCGGGGGCCGCTCTGCGCGCTGGTCGGCGGCGCGGTCGCCTGCTGCTGGCGGTGGTCCGGGGCGTTCCTGGCCGCTCCGGCCCCGCGCGGCACGCCTGCGGGCCCGCGCCAGCCGCTTCTGGCTGGCGGCGCGAGCGGGAAGCGGTTGGATGGCGGCCGCACGGGCATGAGGGCGGAGTGGGTCCCCCGCAACAGCGGTTTCACCGATGCCGATCTCGCGGCGGAGAGGCGCAGGGCGATGGCCCTCCCCGACCCCCCTGGCTACAGCGGGCCCAGGTACACCGGCAGGGGCTCCATCACGGACCAGTGGGTTAAGGACCTGATGGAGATGCAGAAGGGCGACGTGCGCCTCCCCAAGAAGGACGCCACGCTGATGGTCCTGGACGTGATCGACATCCTGGGGAAGGAGCCCAACGTCCCCTCCCTGAGCATCCCCAGCGGCGGAAGCATGTCCGTCGTCGGAGACACGCACGGCCAGTACTGGGATCTGTTCACCACCCTTGGCATTACTGGTCCGCCGGGCCCTGGCAACCCTGTCGTCTTCAACGGGGACATGGTGGACCGCGGCTCCTGGAGCATCGAGGTGGTCCTGTCAATATTCGCCATGAAGCTGAAGGACCCCCAGTTTGTGGGGATCAACCGGGGCAACCACGAGATGCTGGAGGCCAACATGATTTACGGCTTCTGCGGAGAGTGCGAGGCCAAGTACGGCGTGGATCTTTTCGACCTCTTCTCCGAGGCGTTCCGGCGCCTCCCCCTCGGGCACTTGGTCGACAACAAGGTCTTGATCTTGCACGCTGGCATGGGCGGGCCCGACCCGCGGATCTGGATGCCAGGACAGACACACGACCCCACCGACTCCATCCCGCTGAACTCGAACCTGCCGACCCTGGCAGCAATCCAGGCCGTGGACCGAAACACGGAGATCAGCCCCGACGCCTACCAGGAGAGCATTGGGCCCTCCAGCACCGACAAGGCCGTGGTCGACGAGAGGCTGCTGATCGATATCCTCTGGAGCGACCCTCGTGGAGGCGGGGGCTACGGCCCCTCCTACCGCAAGTCCAAGGGGGTCTACATGTACGGCCCGGACGTCTCGGCCGCGTTCTGCGAGGCCAATGGCCTGCAGTGCATCATCCGCTCCCACGAGGTCAAGGCGGACGGATTTCGGTGGGACCACCCAAAGGTGGTCACCGTCTTCAGCGCGCCCAATTACCTCGACACAGGCAACAACAAGGCGGCGGTGCTCAAGCTGACCCAGTCGGCCCCGGGCAGCGAGGTCACGATCACCCCCACCGTCTACGAGGCCGTGAAGCACCCGGACCTGCCACCCATGCACTGGCAGTCGGTCGTCGCCGAGAAGTACCCGCACTTGACCAGGAAGATGAAGAAGAAAGGTGGTTCTGCGATGGACTTCGACGACTTCGGCGACTCCGACTTCGCCGGCATTATGAACTTTGACGAGTGGGAGCCGGACGAGGCCGAGGCCTTCCAAGATGCCTTCAAGCTCGACGGCTACGGCCGCGAGCTGAAGCCAGGGGAGACACGAGTTTGAAGAGAGTGCGGACGCGAATGCATTTTTAAGCAACGCTTTACTCCTCGAGAGGGGGGCGGAGGAGTTGGGGAGAGTGGAGGCTGGGGAGGGGAATTGCAGTGCACTGGCGATCGCTTCTGCTGCTGCTGCTGCTGGCTCTACGTTGGGGGAGTTGGCCAATTTTATCGCGCCTGGCAAACCGTCTGGGGCTCTTTTTTGGGCGTCGCGTCACCAGGGCTTACCTGGCGTTTACGCCCGAATTGGCCAGAGTGCTGGCCGAGTTTGAAAGTTGCTTGGCTTTGACCGTGGGCGCACGCGAGCGGGGCAGGCACAGCTTCCCCAGCGCCTCCGTTATCCGTGTTCTTAGTTTGCTTGATGGACGTGGTCGTTGAGCCGTAGAAGAAAAAAGGTCAGACACAGCTTAGACACGGCTCAAACAAGCTCACACAAAGTTTAACAAACTTACGGCTCAAACAAAGCTCAAACAAAGTTGAACCCAAGCTCGAACAAAGTTTCAACACAGCTCCAACAACGCTCAAGCAAAGCTCAAACAAAGCTGAAACAACACCCCAACAAATCTCCAACAAAGTTCAAACAAGGCTCAATCATTGCTCTAACACAGCTCAAGCAAGGATCCATCCAATACAGCTCAAACTCAAGCCCAAGCAAGGCGCTTACAAAGCGGAGTCAAAGCCCAAACAAAGTTCAAACAAAGTTCACACAAAGCTCAAGCAAAGTTCAAGCAAAGCTCATGCAAAGATCACACACAGCTCGAACACATCTCAACCAAGGCTCAAACAAAGCTCAACCAACGCCGAAGCAAATGTCCAACAAAGCTCCAACAAAGCTTGAACAAAACATAGCTGACACAAAGTCCCTCACACACAGCCCAAACAAAACTCAATCAGCTGAACCAAAGCTCCAACAATGCTCTAATAATGCTCTACCGAAGCTCCAACAAAGCTCAGCCAACGCTGAAACACAGTACCAACACAGCGCCAACAAAGCTCGGACAAAGCTCAAGCAAAGCTGAAACCATGCCCCAACAAAGCAAAGCTCAAGCAAAGTTCAATCAAACCTCATCCAGATCCCCAACGAAGCTCCCACAGGGCTCCACGCTCAAAAAAAGCTCCAATCAAGCTCAAACAACGCTCAAGGGTCGTTGGGCTCGGGAGCCCCTTCCCCTGCCTTTGCCCCTGCCCCGGGCCCCGGCCCTGGGCCTGCCCTGGTCCCGGCCCCGGCTCCAGCCATGGCCCCGACCCTGGCCCCGGCTCCGGCTCCAGCCACAGCCCCCCGCCCGGGCCCTAGCCCGCCCCGCCCCTCCATGTTCGATCGCGGGGACAGTATGCTCTCCCCCTCCCCGCTCCCACGGTTCGAACTCTCGAGGGGCGGGATTCTTCCCCCCCTGTTCCCCTCCCCCCCAGTTCGAGCCGCCGAGGGGGGAGGGGGGGTCTGCACCACCCTCCCCTGCCCTCCTTGGGCCAGGGGGTTCCCCCCCTTCCCCCCTTCCTCCAGTTCCCGGGTAGGAAGGGGGGGGGGGGGGGGAAATTTTGCCCCCCCACCCCCCCCGGGTTTCCAGGAGGGCGGGGGGAACACTTTTTCCAGTTAAGCGATGGTAGATCGCGCTCAGCCTCCCCCCTTAACACGAACGATCCAGTGTCCCGACTCGGCCACGACAAATGTATTTGCGAGTGGGTTGTCGTGTCTCGGTGGTTCGATTGTTCGACTGTCCACCCATACGACATTGATGTTCTGTGCTTTCGAGAAGGGCATGAGGGCTGCGATGGCAGGTTCCCCTTTTCAATCTGCTCGAGAAGTTCAATGGCGAGAAGCCGTTCGAGACGATTGCCAAGGGCGGGGAGTCGCGCGAGATCAGGACATGGGCAAGTTGAAAGCGTCCAGGTACCCGTTCCGCTCTTCTGTTGTACGTAAGCCTGTCATCTTGTTGTCTTCGAATCGACGTCTGGCTGTCCCCTTCAAGCCAAGTGGCATGACGGGGCAGGAGATCAATTTTGGCGGGGCATTTTTCCTGCATTGGGGTGATTACGGCGAGTTCCGCCACGGAGCCATCGCAGATGTCCCAGTGGCCACCTAGGAAGTAGGAGGCAGGAGGACATTGAAGGCAGAAGCAGAGGAGGATGGGGCAGGAAGGACCAGCTCAGCAGCGCTCTATTCAAGACGAGCGCCCAACGCAGGCGGGCTGGTGATCAGGCGAAGGCCGAGGTCGGGGGCCGACGAACGAGGAGCACGCGGATCACAAGAGGCAGCCGTCAGGTGGGAGCCGAAGCTCCCGGTGACGACAGGCGTGCGTTTGTGCGCACGGGCGGCTCCGCCGTGCACGCGGCTATCGCGGTGAGCGTGATGCGCCCTGGCCGCCCGTGGGAAGGACTCCCCCCCCACGCTCTGGTGCGAAGCTGCCATGCGGCTCAGGGCCCATCGCCCCGACTCCGTTTGGCGCCTTCGCCCTGGGCGTCAAGCCAGGAGGCCCTAAGGCTCTCCCAGACTGCCGAGGTGGTCGCGGGCCGAGAAGAAGTATCATGAAATAAGGATCCCCGAGAGTTCGACAATCCAGCCTAGCTAGAACATGAGTGCGCGCGTGAAGCGCGCGTGCTGGTTCTTCTCTGTGCATGCATATGTAAATATATGTTTAGATTGAGGTAGATCTAGATATATGAAGTGTTGCGACGATGCGCATGGGGGATGGGTAAGCCTCTCCCGAAGGGGAAAGGTTTGCGGGGAACTATTTTTCTAACCTCCAACCCCCAGAGGGCTAGTGGGCTGACTGATAGCTTTTGAACAGCCATGTCCTCGCAGGAGGTACAGCCTGCGCCGAATTCCGCCCTACATCGTGCTGATCGTGAAGCGGCTCCTGGATTTGGGAGAAGCGATCCTTGCTCGGCTGGCTGCAAGACGGGGGTCGGGCTCACAGTTGATTGACATGCCCCCCCCGGCTGTTCCTTCGTTTCGTCCGAAGGATCGTCGGGCAGGGCCCAGACTGGGGCAAATCTTTCCAAGCGTTCGAGAGCGTTCCAGAACGCTCTCAGAAGGGGCCGCGCTCGCCCGATACAATTTCCAGAACCGCCGGATCTCAGACATCCCCGATTTGTCCTGGTCTGATGTTGATCTGGTCTTGGCTGCGCCTCATTCGGTTCCTCCTCGTCCTGAGGATCGTCTTTCTGTCCCCCTCCCCATCTCCCCTTCCTACTGCTCCCCTTCTCAGTGTCCATGTCCGCCTCTGACGGCGGTAATCCTGGTAAACTCTCTCTTCGAGTGCTCTTTTGCCTCCGCCTCCTCCTCCTCCTCCTTTTCCTCCTCTCCTCCTCCGGGCCAGAGCGCCGCATGGCGCCAGCGACCCCTTGTCCACGAAGTCAACACAGCTAGGTCATACTAGATTGTTGGATACCACTCAGCTCGAGTCGAGGGGGAGTGGCACCGAACTGGCCCGAGAACTCGATCTTTCGATCAATCCTCCTTCTGCCTCCTCGCCGCCCTCCTCCTCCTCCTCCTCCTTGTAGATCTCTCCAGTCCAGTGCCTTCGTTTATCACGGTGTTCTTCCTCACGGTCCGAGTTATGACGGTTCAGGGATCGGAGCAGGTGCAAGCGGCAGCCAACACGTTTGTTTCAGAAGTATCTCAAGGACCAGACGCCGCAGTTCATGGCGTCCCTGGTCAGGCAGTACACAGTGAAGGCTCCGCGGGGCCCAGGCAGCAAGAAGATGCAGGGTAACATCAAGCTGACTCTAGCGCTGGGCCCACACTCAGAGGCGCAGGCGGTGAGTTCGCTGATGGACATGGCGCTCGCGGAGTGCAAGGCAGCGCAGTTAGTCGGAGCGTCGCTGAAAGGGGCCCCTCGAGACGCAGATCGCGGCGGCGCTCGAGCGCGTGTGAGCATCCCTGAGGCCTTTGCTTCGAGTGCTCGACATCGTGAGCTGGTGGCTAGAGGGGTGATTGCCCAGCCTGCCAACCATTTTTGGTCACTCTTGAGTACGGAGGAGAGGGACGTGGGTGGGAGTGGTCGTCGTCGTAGTGGGCGGGGGAATGGATCCAAATCTTGAAGTGCTGCAAGTGCCAGCGGGGTCGACGCGTGGACCTCTGCGCCGAGTCGTTTCCCGCGGCCTCGCGGCTGTGTTGCCGCCGCAGGGCCACGACTGAAAGTCGAGAGAGATGGCAGTGATAACCGCATAGGACCATGGCCTTTTGAATCCTGGAGGTTGCGCCGTGCTGTGCAGCTTCTTTTTCCAACTCCTCGGAAGTGCGTCTCGAGCTGTTTCCGCTCCGTATTTCGAGGCGTGGCTTCTGTCGCGCCGCAGCGACAGATCGATGAACTGGTCCCGAATGCTTTCGCAACGAATCCTCCTCCTCCTCCTCCTCCTCCTCCTCCTCCTCCTTCTCGTTCGTTCGTTCGTTCGGTCAGGCTGCTCCTCGCAGCTCGCTCCACGTTGATCCATTATCGTTCCTCGCCCCCCCCTCCTCCCCCTCCTCCTCCTCCCCCCCTCCTCCTGCTCCTCCTGCTCCTCCTCCTTCTCCTCCTCCTCCTCCTCCTCCTCGCTGCCCTCCCTGGCCGTTTTGATCGGGCGTGCCCGTGGGCCTCGCACCGGGGTAGTGCTGGTGCGTGCTGCCCTTCGTTCAGTTCATCCCTTTCCAGCGGGGCGTCGGCAGCTCGAATTCTAGCCGGGTTTCGGGGGGCAGCGCTGGAGTCGGGCCGCCGAAGAAGGAGCCCTGCTCGTTCGGGAGGAGCTCGGTGTTGTCCCTTGATGGTTTTATTCGGCGGCGAGCGAGGGGGGGACGTGAGAAGGAGAAGGCCTTCTCAGAAGGTGGGGGGACTTCTCAGAAACCCTCTGGCCTGTTCAAGAGGCCTTCTCAGAAGCCCTCAGGCCTTCGGGGAAGGCGTAGAAGATTTTTGCAGGAGGCTCGGACGCTTTCGAGCCTCAGTAGGCCTGGCCCTTTTCACTTGCCCCTGGGCGGGTTGCCGATTTACTTGCAGGTTGTCTTAGGTTTTCCTTGGGTTCTCCATGGGAGTTCGAAGTTTAACCTATGTGAGAAACGTGGTCTCGTTCCTTATCCAGAGTTCCTCGCGACAGCGGCCCGACTGTAGGGGGATTCCAAGTGTGAGGTTTTCGGCCGCTTTCGGGCTTCCAGCCTTCGGACATGCCTTCCAGCGGTTGCGCCTCGCCGAGAGTGCCCCGGGAGTTTGCGCAGATCTTCCAACGCGCCCGCCGAAGGCTCGGCTTACGAGCCGAAAGCCACCAGGAGATAGGCTCAGAGGGGAAGCGTCGGCCCTCATCGCCCATGGATCGCCGAAAGGGGCTCGACAGCCCACCGCGCCCAGCATCTATCGACGGTATTTCGCCCATCCCTGGGGCCAGTTCGTGTTCCCCTTCTCCGTGGGCCCCAACATGATTGAAGAGCGTGTTGTCTTACAGTGCATGTTGGCCGCCGACAAACAAGTCATGCGGGGCAGCGCCTGGGAGCACCCATAACTCCAGGGTGTGGGCCCACTGTGGAGTCCTTTCGGTGCCCGTCGCGGCACTGCGGCGGGCTCTATTGCCCAGGCTTGTCACAGATGCCACAGCGCTGACGCAACCTGAATCGCCGGCCCGAGGTTTAGAAACAACAATTTCTTCGTCGAGAAGAACCCGACGATCGTCACCTTCCCTCTCAAGGGGCTCGACCTGCGCGACTACATTCACCCCGACTGCCAGCCGGCGAACCCGGAGACGAGGCATCGTGCAGCCAGCGGGCGTATGGCCAAAGATCATGAGAAAAAGGAAGGGAAGGAAAACGAGGAGGATAATGATAATGGGGAGGAAGAGGAGGAAGAGGAGGAGGAGGAGGAGGAGGAGCAGCAGCAGCAGCAGCAGCAGCAGGAACCCCGGCGGTGGCTCCCGAGGAACTGTTTGCTGATGCGCCCTGACGGGCTCCGCGGCCGCTTTTGGCTGCTGTCCGACGCCCCTCTCGCGTCTGGGCCCCCGAGTCGTCTTGTGTAGCACCCGAACCGCCCGAGAGTTGGAGGGTAGCGGGAGGAGGCACCCGCGAGACGCAGATTCGGCTAAACACGATTTGGCCAATGTCTGCCTGCACTGGAGCGGCAGGGCGGAGTGTTGAAACAACGACCACACTTCTGGTCGGGAACGGGCCCGAGGGGGGGTCCCAAGACGGAGCAGTGGCCACACCGTTGGGTGAGTCAGTAGACATTCGGGGTGAGCTCTCGGTTTTGTGACTTGTGTCATTCTCCGAGGCTGCCTCGTGCGACGGGGGCCTCCAAGGCCCAAGAACGTATCGGTGACGGACCGTGCGGTGAGGTATGCTCGGATTTCGATGCCGTCGCACGGTCTGCCGCCGCACCGCTTCGGGACACCCGAGAGAGTTCCAGGGCAGCAAAGAGGCCTTGTCCCTGATCGAGGGCTCCTGTATCACCTGACCCCCAAGCGGGTGCACATCTAGTGCCTCAACCGTGCGCCTTCTGACACCGTTTTCGTCGTCGCGGGAGTCCACTCGCGAGTTCTCAACCGGAGATTTCGAGCGGGGTATTTTCGCAACTCTGTTCCCGAGTGGCCCCGCGGAGACGGAGGACCACAGCGGTCTAGTCGCTCCCCTTGGCAGCGGTCCCGCTTCATCACAATTCGGCGCTTTCACTAGGGAGTCTCTTCACAAGGCCCTCCCCCATCCTTCCTCACCCATCTTCCCCCAACGCCTGGCCGTGACTCGCCGACCCGCCGTGTGGGAGCAGCACAGGGGGGGGGGTGGGGCAGGCTCCTCGTGGAGCCAGGTCCCAGCGTAGTACAAACTCCTTTGAGGCGTGAGGCACACAGGTATAGTGCTGTCAAGCGCCGCCCCCCACAGGGGGGGGACTATCCTGCTATATTATCCCGCACTCTTGCTTCTGCACTCCGAGGGAGAGGGCGAAATGGAGGGGGAAATTGAAGGGCGGATGGGGGGGCGAAGTGTCAAGGGCGCTCTCTCTGTGCGCCCCACGAGCATTCCTCCCGTTTCCATCCTGATCGCTCTTTTGCTACGGTTCTGGCTCCAGGTATGACCTGGTCGCCAACGTGTGCCACGACGGCAAGCCTGAGAAGGGTACGTACAAGGTTCAGGCCTTCGATCGGGATGCAACTGGGATCCTTTCCGACCCGCTCACGCCTGCTCTCTGCTTGTGTTTCTTGGCCGCGTCGTCATTATTCATAAATCCTCTTCTTTCGGAATCTTTCCCGAGCGTTTTGCCCTCCTAATTCTCCTAGAGGAACTGGCTGCGCATAGCTTGTCCTAATCATCCTGTTGTGTTGGCCCTCGTGTTGAAGAGATAGCGCCCTGCGTCACTCACTCCTGCCTCCTCCCCTTCCTCCTCCCAGTCCTGCATCTGCCTTCGCATGCTCATTTCGGAACACCTCTCACACGTTTCGTGGCCCCATGGGGAGCTCCGCCGAAGGCCTCAGCGGCAGGGTCCGCATGGCGGCCCCGCACCCATGTCGGCACGCCCCTCACACGCTTCGTGGCCCCTGTAGGGAGCTCCACCGAAGGCCCCAGCGACAGGGTCCGCATGGCGGCCCCGCACCCATGTCGGCACTCTGCTCGCACGTCTCGTGGCCCCATGATGGGAGCTGCCCCTTCTTTTCCCGCTTGCTTTGCACCCGCACGTGGCTGGGCTGTTCGCCTGGAGAATTCGTCGCTGTGGACAGTTGCGACACCGACGACGACGAGCAGCGATGTGACGTCAGGGAGGGGCATCGCATTGTGCGCGAGGGGTGTAGCGGGCAGGACAAGTGGGAAGTTCCCGTGAACATTTTCTCAGCGCGCAATTGTCTGTAGGGACCTCTCGGGTTGCTCCGGTTAGGAGATTGAGCACGGAGTGTGCGAGTAACAGTCGCAGGGTGCACGTAGGTGGGTTGGCTTGGGTGGCCAGGCTTCGCCGTAACCATTTCGGCGCAAGCTCGCACTCTGCTTTCAGCTAGCAGCTATTTTGAGGAGTTTTCTTTCGAGCCCCAGGCCCAGCTAAGACCCCGACCAGTTTCGAACCTCGCTCCGATGCTCCCAGGCGCTGTGGCTGGCAGGCAGGGCCCATCCGTTTCTCCCGCTGGCGACCGCGAAGTATGGGCCGGCACGTGGACAAATAATTGCTGTTTCATCGTCCATCTGGGTCGGGGGCGGGGGGGTAGAGCATCCCGCGAGATTACATGGAAGATGGGGAGGTGGTAATGAGGAAAACGGGCAGGAACATCGCTGTAGCACGAGTCATGAGAGGGAGGGGCTGTGAGAGCCTTGGCCTCGAATGGCCAACCGTGGTGTTCCACTCTGGTGGTGCCAACGGCAGGAGGGAGCGCTGCGTGTGCCGGCCCCCGGCAGGGGATGGGCGCGCAGATTTCTAGATGCAGGAGTGGAACAAAAAGACGCGCAGACACCCTCAATCGTCGATTCCCCGGAAAACATGGGAAGATATGGGCAGTGGGGGGGAAGACGAAAACCCCGAAAATGTGGGGACAATATGGGGGATCCCGTTATCTGTGTGTATTTGTTTTTGTGTGTCCCCGGGCCCCTTCAGTTTTGCGCGGACGTGCTGGACGGGCGTGCCCGAGCATCTGGCCCCGCCCCGTGGCCATCGCGGGGCCGTGCGTGGGTTTTGCGCGGCCACCTGGGGCCCCCTCGGGGCTCTCTCGGAGCCTCTCGGGGCGTGTCTGGCGTCCCTTGGAGGACTGGGGGGTGTTCTGCAGGGTTTCAGGGCCGCGTGAGGGAGTCTTGGCGCCGCCTTGGGGCAGCCTTGGACCGTCTTGGACCCATTTCGGCGCCGTCTTGTGGGCCCGCCGGAAGCTTCTGTGGCCCTCTGTGGCCATCTTGGGGTGATCTTGGGCTGTCTGGGGGTCTCTGGGAGCATTCTGGGACCTTCTCGGAGGCGGCTGGACGCAACAAGGCGAGATGGCAGAAGACACTGACATTTCCGATTGTTTTCTGAGTGATTTGCGGTGTTTGGGCTTTCTTTTGTTATTTATCTAGGCTTTCTCGATGTCTCTCAATGAGCTTTTTCACTCATTCTTGAGGCCTCTTGGACATTCTGGAGCCCACCTGGAGCCGCTTTGGATTGCATCTTCTTGGGCACGCCGCAGGCGTCGGAGGTTGGGGTCCCCTCCTTAAGCGGGATTTTGGGTCTCTGGGGAGGGGGGACATGGGATATGGGGCAGCTGGAATGCCATACTTCCATCTCACGCGCCTTCTCACCCCATGCAAGCGCGCGTCGGCGGATCTCCCCTGGCATCCGCCCATTTGACTTTTCAATACGCGGCCCCAAGTGGTCCCGCTCGCTTCGCCAGGGGTAGTTTCCCGCCTTGGATCCATGTTTGATGGTCACGGGGTCCGAAAAAGGGGCCTCGGAGACCAAAGTCTACGAGACATCGCCGGTTTGAAACGTCATGTCGTTGTAGATCTGGGTCTGTATTCGAGCATGCGCCTCGGATCCCATGCTTTCCACCGCGCCCATGCCCAATGCCGCAGGTGTACCACGCGCCGGTCGCCCAGTGGTTCGAGATCCACGACCTCCGGGTCACCGCTGTGCTGCCGCAGATGGTGGCGTTGACGGAGAGCTACATCCAGGTGTACCAGAGGCAAGACGTCAAGTCCGACGGCGAGTTCGGCAAGTTCGAGATGGAGCTTCCAGAGATGGGCCAGGAGGTGGTCTTTGGGGGGGGGGGGTCAGGGGCAACGTTAGGTGGGGATAGGCTCAATGGGGGACGCATCGGCCCCCGATCGCCCACTGATCGCCGCTAGGGGCCCAGCCCGCCCCGCCCAGGACCGTCCGGATTCTGCTGTCGGGGACCTATTGCCGCTCTATTGGCGATCTAACGCCGATTCAAGCTCGCTTGATGGGCCCATCTCCCACCACCACTACCATATGCAGGAGAAGGAGGAAGGAGGAGGAGGAGGAGGAGGAAGAGGAGGAGGAGGAGGCGGAGACGGAGGCGGAGGCGGAGGCGGAGGCGGAGGCGGAGGAGGGGGAGGAGGACCTCCCCATCCTTCCTTCTCCCCCGTCCTACATGTGGTAGCGGTGGAAAATTGGCCCATCAGCGCTGTCCTCCGCCCCCCCCGAGCCGGTCCCCCGCTGTCGTCCCCGCGCGGGAGGGCGAGGAGGAGGAGGCGAAGGAGGCGGGAGACAGCGCCCAGGAGCCAGCCCCCGAGCCCTCCCCGGGGGCAGACGGAGAGGCCCCAGGGCCACCGAGGTGGGCGCGCCACGGGGGCGGCAGGGGCGGCGCCACTCTCGCGCAGGAGGGGGAGGAGGCGGAGGAGGAGGGGGAGGAGGAGGAGGAGGAGGAGGAGGAGGAGGATCATCGACTCCTCCTCCGCCTCCTCCTCCTACTCCTCCTCCTCCGCCTCCTCGTCCTCTCCTCCTCCTCCTCCTCCTCCTCCTCCTCCTCCTCCTCCTCCTCCTCCTCCTCTTCCTCGCTCGCGGCCGAAGCTTGGCAGGCACGTCGCGCGCGGCACGAGGCACGCCCGGCATGGGGGCGGCCTCGCCGCGGGTTCTGTCTCTCTGTTCCCCGCCTCGGCAGGGCGAGCGGCGGAGGGACTGTAGTCAGGAGGGAAAGAAGCACACAGACAGTTAATCGTCGATCCCCCAGGAAATGTGGGAACATATGGGAAGTGGGGGGTAGACAAAAACCCAGAACATATGGAAACATATGGAGAATCTTGTTATTTGTGTGTATTTAATGTGTGTGTCCTGGGCTACTTCATGTAGGGTGGGGGGAAGGATGGAGAGGGGAGGAGTGGGAATGGAGAACACGGAGACAGAACGAGAGGGAGGGAGAGATAGAGAGAGAGAGAGAGAGACACACACGAGCCGACAACATTCAGACTGCATAGCATGTGTATGCGCGCCTGCCAAGCGTGTGTACGTATGTGTATGTGGACCTGCAGACGTCATGCACAAGCCGTGCAAAGCTTCCTGTGTGCATGTATGCATTGCGTGTATATATATATATATGTCTACAGAGAGGGGGGGATGGAGAGAGAGCGAGAGAGAGGGACCCACCCAACACAAACGAGAGGTGTGGTAAGAGGTGGGGGGCGGGCGTCGAGGAGAGGGAGAGGACAGCGAGAAAGGGAGGGAGAGCCAGAGGAAGAGGCACGGAAGGAGACCTGCACAGAGGCAGCCCGTCGCGCCGCGCCTCACGAGAGGTGGACACCGGCGTTGCGGCGGAGATCGAGATGGCGCCAGAGGACCTCGCAGAGGCCGGTATCATCATCGGCTGAGCGGGCCTCTGTTTCGTCCTCGTCCGCCTCCCCCGCCACGAGGAGGATCGAAGGAGAAGACAAGCGCATACACATACAGTGGAGGCCCATGCCAGGAAACACCCTGCTCGCGTCCATGGGTGCCCTGGGTTTCTTGGGCTTCGACGGTTTTTCCATGGAAAGCGTGACGTTCCCACACCAAAATCAATTGACGTCCTGGGGTCTCAGGGTTGGGTTTCTTGTGGAAGGTTTCTTGTGGTCGGGCCCCTACTGTAAGCTCTCGGAGCTCCGCGTGGATTTTTTTGATAGACGTTGGTCCCTCTGGCGGCGCCTCCAGCGCCGCCGTGGCGCTCTCCGCGCGCCAATGAGGGAGTGTTTGTTTTGTTGAACCCTCTGAGCCATAACGCGCCGCGTGCCCCCCATCCTCCCCCCCCCGTTTTCAAAATGTCGTTGTCGACTTAGTGCTGCGCGCACTCGCTTTCAAAATTTACAGCAGTTCAACGGCTCTCATGGTTGACGTCCCAGGAAAGGTGTTCCGGCGCGGCTTGGGGTTGCCACGGCGCCACAGTCACGTTGACTCTCGGTGCTGAAATCCAGGGAATGGTGTTCGGTGCGATTAGGACCGCCAGGACGCAACAGTAAAGTGGATTCGTGGAGTTGAAGTCCAAGGATTGGTGTTCAGTCACGATTGAGGGTTCTCAGACGTTTGTCCTCCAACGGGGCATTTCCGGCAATGAGAATACTTTCTCGCAGGGGCCAGAAAGAGGGAATTTGGAGCAAGGGCTTATTGCAAAATCTATGATGCGTCTTGGGATTACGATTGCCCTCCTCCTCCTCCTCCTCCTCCTCCTCCTCCTCCTCCTCCTCCTCCTCCTCCTCCTCCCCCTCCCCCTCCTCCTCCTCCTCCCCCTCCTCCTCCTCGTCCTCCTCCTCCTTCTCCTCCTCCTCCTCCTCCTCCTCCGCGCCCCTGTTCTGACCCTCCCCTCCCCGTTCCCCCCGCCTTCTCCCCCTCCCTCTTCGGCCGTGCGGTTCCGCGCGCGCGGGGGCGGAGCGAAGGCGCCGGAGGGCCGCGACCCGACCTGCGGCACCCGGCGCGCTCTCGCCTATTACAAAGTTGTGCGGGGGAAGGGGGGGAGAGAGAGAGAGAGAGGGGGAGAGAGGAAAAAGCAAGAGAGAGAGAATCCGTCGAGGGGGTCCTCCCTCCTCCTCCACCCTCCTCGTCTCATTCGTTCCATGCTTCTTCCGCCTCATCCATTCTCCTCCTCCTGCATCGTTTGTCCCCCTGTGGGGGTCGTCTCCCTCGTTGAGTCGGCGTGGCATCAGCTTGACTCCCTCGCTTGGATCGTGCTTCCTCCTCAATTCTCCGTCCTCCCGCTCCGTCCTCCCGCCTCCGTCTTTCTCCGTCCTCCCTCGTTCTCCTCCCTCTCGGGGGCACCGGGAGGAGCGAAACGGGGACGGAGAGGATAGGAGAAGACCGACGGCAGTCCAAACCCATTCTCAACAGGATTCACCGTCGTAGCCGCCGCGGACGATAACAGGGACGGGGACGGAAATCCTGGGGCCCAGGAAAAACGAATGGGGATGTAAATAGTGGGGGCGACGCCTAACATCAGATCTTGCCAAGGGCTTGCACGCTTGCTTCATCGGGTTGCGTTGCCCTGAGATGAAGCATACATCGGGGTGCCCGCGGCAAGTCCCGCCACGGCTCCAGCTCAGCACTCTAGGTGGCGAAGCTTCCAGCACCGAAGGCCGTGACATGCGACACATCTCGTGCCCTGTTTTTGAGGAACTCATGCAATGTACGTATTGTGAAGGCCTTATGACCGGTACCACCGACCCAGGACGACGACGACGATGACGACCACGACGACAATGACAACGACCAGCTGATGACCCTGCTGCAGGCTCGGGACATGGGGCGGGCGCTGGATGAGGCGGAGGAGGGAGGAGGAGGCGGAGGAGGAGGAGGAGGAGGAGGAGGAGGAGGAGGAGGAGGAGAGGAGGAGGAGAGGAGGAGGAGGAGGAGGAGGGAGGAGGAGGAGGAGGAGGAGGAGGAGGAGGAGGAGGAGGAGGAGGAGGGAGGAGGAGGAGGAGGAGGAGGAGGAGGAGGAGGAGGAGGAGGAGGAGGCGGGAGGAGGAGGAGGAGGAGGAGGAGGGGGGGGAGGAGGAGGAGGAGGAGGAGGAGGAGGAGGAGGAGGAGGAGGAGGAGGAGGAGGGAGGAGGAGGAGGAGGAGGAGGAGGAGGAGGAGGAGGAGGAGGAGGAGGAGGAGGAGGAGGAGGAGGAGGAGGAGGAGGAGGAGGAGGAAGGGGAGAAGAGCCGTCTGCGTCATCGGGGGGCGGGCGCCTGGGAGGACAAAACCGAGGGCAGCGGGGGAGGGGTCACAGCCCCTGGGACCCCCGCCCGGGACCCCCCCCTTTGAATCCCAAGGAGCCCGAAAGAGGTCCACGACCAGGAAGTCCAGGGCCTCGAGCTCCTCCAAAACAGGATCGTCAATATGTTAAGAATATCGACGCTTGATTGTCGGAGCACAATCAGGGAAAACAAGAGGGCACCCGCTGCCCTCGCAATCTTTCCTGGCACGTCACCAGAGCGCGCCACTGCCTGCGAACTCGCAGGCGCATCCAGAATGGAATCCCGCCCTCCCTCGCCTGATCCGAGGTGGCGGCGGCACACTGCAATGATAACGGTAGCAGCGAGCGAGAATGAAGCACACGAAACAGACTCGATACAACTGCTAGCAACATGAGATATCCCTATCACATTCAGACAGGGGGAAAAGAAGTTGCAGTGTGCCTGGGGCCCTGCTGGCCCGAAACTGAACAAGAACAGGAGCAGGTCTCATTCACGAAAACCTCTTCTGGAGGCCGAGCGACGGTCGTACTCTCTGGTGCTGGTCCAGCTGGTGGTGGTCCGCACTGTTGCTGTTGTCGAAGCTGGCGTCGCTTCTCGATGACCTCCTTGGCCGACTGGGCGTCTCCGGGCGCCGTCGGCTCGAAGATGCCCTTGCCCAGCGCCGCGCGCTTCCGCGCGCTCATGAAGTGCTCGTCGTAGACCAGCCGCCATTCCTGCTTCTCGAGGAACATCTTCAGCACCCCGAGCGCCTGCCAATTGCCCTTGGTGAGCCCGTCCGCGATCTGCGCGTGGGAGTGGACCCACCTGGCCACGCTGTTGCCCTCGTCGAGCGCGTTCCGAAATGCCAGCGCCTCGATGGCGGTCCGGCGCTCCTCCAGGCCCAGTCCAGCCGACTGGGGCCGCACCACGCCGTCGTAGAACGCCTTACAGTCCGTCACGAGCACCGCAGGGATGGCCTTCAGGAGGGTGGCCCGCTCCTGCGTCGGCGAGCGGTTGTACAGCAGCTCCGACAGGACCATCCGCACCATACATTGTTCTCCTTCAGCATCTCCAGCTTCTTGAACTTCGGCAGCCAAACTCGAGCGGGCCACGCGTCGTAGTTTCTTGGGGCCCCAGTCGAGCACTGTGAACTTCGCCTTTTCGCCCTCGATGGCCTGTGTAGTTGCGATCGCCGTCAGAAGTCCTCCTTGAGAATGACAGTCGGGCCGACTGGCCCAGGCTGCATCGCACCAGGTGAACACGGCAAGGTCGTCGAGGTTGTGCCTGTAGATCTGGAGGCCCATGTGCTGGTGCTGCTTAATCATCTTCACGATGTTATTAGCCGCGCTGAACAAGTTGTGAGTCCCGCCTGGGGTCTTGGCCTGTAGCTCGGCCACCCACGACAACACGAAGGGCATGGTATTCACGCCCAACCAGTAGGCCTCTTCCACAGAAGGCCCGCAGGATGGTCTGGTCGCTCTCGCGCAGGGTGTCCGTCGAACGGTGGCGGCCTCCATCAGCTGGTTGAACTTCTCGAATCTTGTCCGCGTAGGCGCGCTGATGAAGAATGAAGCCCTGGTCGTTCTCCTCGATGGTGACACCGCACTGCTCGAGGCTCTTGATGGAGTCGTCGTTCATATCCTCCCAGGTGCCCCACTTGTAGAGCTTGCGAATCTGCTTGACGATGCTCGTCCAGAGACTGTGGCTGTTGTCGCCAGCCAGGGCGAAGTCGTCCACATGAGCCACGGCCAACCCAATGAGTCGAGTAGTCTTCGGAAACCGAACTTGCCATAGACAGGGTTCCAACTCGCACGCTTGAAGTCCCAACTTTGCGAAATCGACCTTCACGGTTCCCCGCCAGTGACGAGGGGCTTCGCCGATGCCGCACCCTGGCTTCATGACCTTGAGCACCTCGCCTTCCTTGACGTTGAATGCGCGTCGTAGCGCGGGATCGGGTTCAATGAAGAGGTCCTTCTCGAGCTTGTTCGCCTGAAGAAATGCCGATGTCACGTCGCCTCTGATCAACTTCCAGTGGTTCGCGGTGGCCACGGCCAGCACGATGTTGCGAGCCCGCCGGGAGGCCGTTGGACTGGCAGCGGGCTCCTTCCCGAGGTCCTTCGCCTGGTAGCCGAGGAGGACGAGCCGCGCCTTAGCCTTCCCGTCCGACTTTCTTGTGAAGAGCCAGCGTGCTCGAATGGTATCTGCAGCATCCTGCGCTCGTTCGGCTGGCGCGGGTCGTAGTCCCTGATGTTGTTGCCAGTTTCCGACCTCCTTCGCGATGACCACCTCGAACTCTTTCCGTTCCTCGGCGTTCATCTTGGACCAGGTCAGCTCGACTTTGTCCTTGCGGCGCTGGTTGGCCAGGAAGCTATCGGCCATGTTCGGAACCGCCATCGTCTTGGTGACCTGCTTGCCGTTCTCCTCGCAGAGGTACTCGAAGTAGACCGTCTGGAGCTCGTCGCTGCCGAGAACGATATCCAACTTGTCCTTTTGCAGGTCCACGTAGAGGTCCATGTCATCATTGGTGTCGTTCCCCTTCCGCCGCTTCTCGGGTGGTCGGTGCAGGTCGAGCTCCGGGCCGCGGTGAGTCATTCGATAGCGAGGTCGTGGTTGTGCTGACGATGCCTTTGACGATGAAGACGCCCCGCTCGGTCTCGGTGGAACAGATGCTGCTCGTGCTGCTGGTGCCGCGGGCCCTGGTTCACCAGGAGGTGGAGCAGGTGGCTCTTCGGCAAGAGGTGCTTCAGCAGGAACTGTGGATTGCCCTTCCTCCGGTGGAGCTGCAGGTTCGGCTTCAGGCTGAGCTGGAGATCTCGGCGTCGTCGCCTGTGATGCGGCGGGCGCGTCGTTCGCCTCGGTACCCGCTGAAGGTGGTAGCGCGGCAGGTTCTCCTGAAGCTGGTTCGCCCTGTCTATCGTCAGGTTCGTATTCTCGGAGTCCTGGGCGCTGATGGTCAAGAAGGTCCTCGAACGTCCCCGACTTGGCGGTCTCCAGAATCTCCGTCATCGTCTTCCCAAGGTTGGCTTGCTTCTGCAGCTCGTTGATCATCTTCTCAGCTTCCGATGCGGCTCGGAGTTGTTCGGGGGCACAGCGAATGAGCGTATTGCCA